AGAATTGTATTTATTCAAATGTCAGTGGATATAGACATTCCATACTGACACATAACAGATTTCTCACATTCCCTTTAGATGCTCCTCTACTGTCTAATTAATCCTACTGATATATTTATTTTTAGAATGCGTAAGAATAAGAGTTAGCGTACATCATAGCTAGTACATCATGTTAAGATATGGCTTAACCACTTAAAGTCGATTGCTTTTTAATGGAAATTATGCTATGATACAATGAATGCACTGTTGCACTATTACATACTTAACTTATGGAAAAAAAATGGATATTGATAATACGATCATACTTCACACTAAATAAAGACACTACTGTTTGAGGTGTTAACCAACCTTTAGAAGGGCAGAAGAAGTGGACTTGTGTTAAAACAGTTATTGATGCTGTTAAGATACCCGTACATTGACTTAATACTTCATTTTTACGCTATCTCTCAAATGAAAAATGAAATGTATTAAATGAATATGTATTAAATATTATTATTTCACAAAAGTTTCTTGTACAATATTATCTTATAATCAGCATTATTTAAAAATATTGTATGTTTCATACTCTGTTATATAAACACTGCACATTGCGTTATGACATTACTTTCTCAGACATAAACAATGTATCAATGAAATATCTTAATCATTTCACATTTCTCAGTACTCACAACAGATTTCTCAGTACGGTTCCAAAATGATTGGTAGCGCTTAGTTACCTGCAGCAGTTAGAACCAGGATTCTAGGTTTCAGCAGTGCTCTACGTATTTTTTAACTAATTTTGTTTAACTGTTAAGTGTGCTTTAGTCAATGACCCATTTATTTTATGTTGATTCATTCATATTTCTATTGGCCTAGTGGTTAGTGACCCATACCTGACTGATAAACAGGTGTTCGATTCCCACATTTCCCACCGAGGGCAAATAATTGTGTGATGAGCACCATCATGTGTTCTGTGTCTGTAATTTATCTATATTATGTGTATATTTAGGAATATTCAAGTATGTTTATCAGCAGTCTGGTTACCACAACACAGGCTCTGCCTAGTTTGACTGAATTTTTCAAGGATGCTATTGCGTCGTATGTATTGCAATCAAATTTGTATTTTTTATACAAACCTTCGCAGGCGGACGCACGAATCATCAAACTTCCTTACCAATCGGATGAATGGTAAACAACGCATTTAAGATTACGAAACAAACAAAGGTGACTCGCTCAGGAACCACAAACAACAAATATACCCGAACTATAATGATGTCAACTAAATACACCTTATCGAAGATTAATAAGTTACTTTTTTATTTCTCTGAAAACCATACCATACTTTCTTGGTTTTTTAATACTAATTTTAACTCTCTTATAAGTGAGTGTGCCATATAGTTGTTCTTAGCTGTTTAACCTATACAGCTTAGTCACTAATGGCGCTAGAAAATTACCCTTGATGACACCCCATCAGTTTATAGTGATTAATGACCACAACCTGCGTAGATAACTCGCCTCGCAATCTCATAAAAGCTATTACGATAAGATTGTCTGGAAGTTCTGTCGGTAAATGTGTGCCATTTATTTTGGGTTAGATTGCATATTTTTTTAAATATTAATAACATAGGTCACATATTATTGATATTCTGAAGAACCCATTAACATTTCCCATGTATAGTATGGTGGAATTTGAACTCGCAACCACTCAAACGAAAAACCTCAGTTCTAACAGAATATATTACTTTGGTTTCTATTGGCCAAACATTGTTTTAAAAAAAAACTTGATAGTCCGATAAATTAAACCTTTTTTTTCATTTTTGTTCGATTTATAATAATCATAAAATTTTTAAATTAGGGATCAAGATAAAATTATATTTTAATACTTGCTTAATAAATAATTTGTTATTTTAGCTGTTAGACAACATTCCTATAAACAAGTTCTGTATATAATAAAGGTTTTACGTAAATTAGTTATAACGTCCAATTTATAACCATATATTAAATGGAGCGCCATAATTAATAGTGATTCAGTGACGATGCTTTATTCTTTTTTGCACCATGGTGGTGATTTGCATCATATGATAAATAGTTAAGTAATTTATTCAGACCTGGCAGAGAACCAAGTGTGATGTAAGTTCAATCCATACATGAGACAAGTTTAATCTAGATGTCCTGCAAAGCATTCGAAAGTTGTTGTGTCAAGAATTGAGAAGGAAATGCATGATTTTTGATTATGTTTAGAGGTGAGTAAAGGACGAAAGTCTAATCGAATTTATAGAGCACCTACGGATTAGCGAATTAGAGCAGTTAAGCTCCAAATATATACTATCTAAATGTGCAGCATACTGAAAATAGGCTAAACAAATCTGATGGAGACTCGTCAGAAACAATGTATTATTGTCTATTGCATTGTCATTGTTTCCTTTTAATTTCATAGATAATGCAGTGAAAGAAAATTACTATGACATCAGAAGAAATAGGTTTTATGCCAATCTGTTCTTTATATTAAAATAAATTTCATTAGCCTTTTAAAATTGTACGAGTTTAAATGTTTGCAACAAACAGAATCATTTAATATGATTCTGATTATGAAAGCAGAAAAATATTCCTAACCTTACAAATATCCATCATCTATTTATTAGATCTAGCGTACAACAGAGCTACTTGGTTAAGTATAGCAGCCATTAACAGTGTATATGCATAACTTGGAGATCAAATCAATGGGAAGAAGGGTGATATTTTGACATTAATATGTAACATAGAATAGATAAGAAATAATAATAATGTTCTACCACGTTCACACAACACCCTTTAATCCTGAACTAAGCATAGCTACTAAACAACTGATATAATTACATTTTTTTTAAATACATTTATATTACACCTACACCAAATCAAATATTAAATGTTGATATATACAAATGTTTAACTTCAATGGGAATCAAACTGGCAACCTTTACTGCCTCAGTCGGTAACAAAAACTACTACACCATCCGGCCGTCAATGACTTTATTTAATCACAGTAATTGTAGATCTTAATATTAAGAGGATTGAGAATCAAATCATAATCATCATTATGATCATTCTGAGTTTTAAAGGCTGATGGATCAGATTAGGAAAGTTATTACTTACTTTATTTGGATCACAAAATTATAATTATAAATCCATGTAACCAATATCCTTTCTCTACCACTGCATTCCCCTCTTAATTACTTTTAATTTTATGAGACTTCCAGTTTACCCATCTACTTCCTATACTGCTTGGTTAACGGCAATATGCTTGACCCCTATGTGGGACTAAAATTATAGTTGGCAAAGTGCAACAATTTAGTAATAACTCCAAAAGGCTTTGATCTAACCAAATTAAAAGATGTTCATGATTTATGGTATGTCATATGTAAGATACTATAATGTACAATACATAACTGGAACATAACAATCGCATGACTCAGGGAACAAGGTATAACAACTCACTAACTATATATGGTAATGTTTACTTATGTTTATATTTAACAGGCTACTCTACAGTAACTGTAGCAATGACACATCCCCTTACCTCATGTGATACTTAAAAAATAACAATAAAAACTTCTTTGTTCTTAATTGTTTTCATCAAATCAATCAAAATCAATTAAGGATAGAGCTGTCTAGCTTAAAAGTTGTAACATGTTTTGTTTATAGTATACTTAACTATATTTATATGTTATTCTTTGAGAACTTAGCTACAACATAAAAAAAATTAAGGTACTACTATTTGTAGGCAGCATACATTGGTAGTTTCATATACAATGCAAAAAAGTACAAATATGTGACAATATAATAAATAAACAATAACATAAAGATTGCCTCAGTCATTGACATTATTTTATATCAATAGTACTTTATCTTTGTAGATAATAAAAAGTAAATAATAGCTGTGTTATCCAACTGTACCTCAAAATACTAAAAAGGCTATAGTTTTTTGAATAGTAAACTACTAAACCAATTAATAAGCATATTAAACATTTTTGCATGTTTAGAAAATAAACAAAATATTTGAAAGGATCAAACGCAAAAATTATGACACGTTATCACTACATATGTTCCAAAATCTTGCAGCTTCGCTTGACTGCAATCTGGTATATAACGTCAAAAGGCCTGGTCAGGCGCAAAATATGCAAATTAACAAGTTTATTTTAGCAGAACACGTCATTTCGTTTACTCAGAACCCTAACAGGTTATGATAAGACTACACTTACCTAAATCATCCATTGTTTCTGTTATAAAAAGTTTCACTGTTCACTTACACTATACGTATTTCGTAAAAACTATGGATTAAATTAACTTTAAACAATATAAGTGGCAAAATACTACAATAATAATACAAACCAAACTTGAAAACTAATGCCCAATTACGGCAATATTAGATATTTAGCATTCTCGGTGTAATGTTGGTAGACCTGACAAAATGTCAAAACATTTTGTCAACATTCGATATTTCAGAACGAAAAATGATACATACATACTTGGGTTTTGATATCAAATATTATGAGGCTTTTAAAAAATTTACAAGAATTTTTTTAGACTTTAAGTTTGAAATACGTCAAGAAATTTATATTATTAATTAATTTAATAAAATTAAACGACTGTTGCCGTTTTTGAACAAAGACAGTAGATACTACCAATAATAACGTCGTACATGTCAAGTAAGAACCGTTCTAAAAGCATTTTCCGAAACTGACTTATCAAACCCCCAAAATTATAAATGTTGGAGAGCAAATAAAATGATCCTAACTTGATATCACATATTTAAACTTTCTTTAAGTTTAATAAACAAGATTTTATTAATTTAAACTCAATCATTAGTAAAAGTTAACAGCTTTCTTCTGCTTAATAATTTTATAGAGATAGTATTCGAACGTTACTTAAAATAACTTGCTGTGTGCTGTATCGACTATCGATTCACTTTGATTACCGTCGTATTTATTAATGATACGCCCAAGTTTCTTGAACCTGTGAGTTAATTTAACGAATAAATCAAAATGAGTAGTTCGGGTGAGCAGCTTACTTTAGCCAGGGACATAAAACGAGCCATTGAATTGCTCGAGAAACTTCAACAAAGTGGCGAAGTCCCTGCCACCAAACTTGCAGCCCTGCAGAAAGTTCTTCAAAGTGACTTCTTGAATGCTGTTCGTGAAGTATACGAGCATGTATACGAAACAGTTGATATTCAAGGCTCAGCTGATATACGAGCTTCGGCTACAGCTAAGGCTACTGTGGCTGCTTTTGCTGCTGCAGAAGGCCACGCACATCCCAGAGTCGTCGAGCTTCCTAAGACCGAAGAAGGTCTAGGCTTTAACGTAATGGGCGGTAAGGAACAAAATTCACCCATTTATATTTCTAGAATAATTCCTGGCGGCGTGGCCGATCGACATGGAGGTCTTAAAAGAGGTGACCAGCTGTTGTCAGTAAATGGAGTGTCAGTGGAAGGAGAGAATCACGAAAAAGCTGTTGAGTTACTAAAGCAAGCTGTTGGTTCAGTAAAACTGGTGGTCAGATACACTCCTAAGGTGCTAGAAGAGATGGAAATGAGGTTTGACAAGCAGAGAACTGCAAGACGACGTCAAAACTATAACTAAACGCATTTCTAGTCAAGAAAGGAACCTTGTAATGATGTAAATTTATCCAGCAGCATAGTTGCTAATAAAAAAAAGGATGAATATGAAATGTTATGATGCAGCAATATTGTTTTGGGACAACTTGAAGATTCTAGCTTTTAAAATACTTCATAGAGCAAAACTGTCAAAGTTTACTGCTTTGACAGTTTTGCTCTCAGTAACTATGTTACTAAATTGATATATTTTGAGATTCCACTCATTTATTTTTAGTGTTTAACAAAAAAAAATGCCAATAATGGTTTGATCAATTCTACAAAACCTCTTAATTTTTTTTTTGGTCATAGAGCCTTCACCAGAGAATGTATTTAAAGCTATTTAGGTGGAATTTCTATCTGCAATCATGTACACTTAAAATATTTTCTAGGTGAAAGTTGACCCAATCATTTACATTTACAAATATTTTATGGTCAATACTCAGCCATATGATTGTCCATATGGCTAAGTATTGACGTACATAAAATACTTGTTGTTGTCCTTGTCAATACTCAGCCATATGATAGTCCATATGGCTAAGTATTGACATACATAAAATACTTGTTGTTGTCCTTGCGTTGTGTTGTTGGCAACTTGCTGCTTGGTATTCAGATTTCCATTCAAATTTGGAAGTGTGGTGTTCGCTAAATCCTTAATTATGGATTCTCACATAGGGGGAAACTTGTACTTATGTAATATGTTAAAGAAGACTTAAAATGATAATTATTAACTTAAAAAAATTATTATTGCACCTTGTAATTATTAATTGTTATAGATATACAATATTATGTACTTAACTTTATTTTGGGTTTAGGTATGTGTATATTCCAATAGATGATCTTATACTGCATTGTAATAATAAAAAATATTTATGAAATTGTTTAAAAAATATTTTTATTGTAACTGTCTGTTATATCAATTAAAAAACATCTACATCACCACAGTATAGTGAGGACTTAGAGCTTAACCAATAAGATGTAAAATTTTCAAATTTATGTTTGTTAAATAGTATGTTTAAGAAATAGTTATATAAGCACTACATCATCACTTGACTTGACTTTATATAATAATAAATTAGTGAGAAAGTGGTTTGGCTTTGTTTTCATTTAAAATGTGTATGGTATGACTTCTATTTAAATGGAGGGAGCTGTACTAAACTATTGATATATTGGTAACCAACCTTAACACTTTCAGACAATTCATGGTGCATGTTTGACAATTATTCTATTATGTTATATAAAATCTAAACAAACGAAATCATTTCAGTGGCTCTACAATGTGTCAAAAAAAATTGTTGGTTTGACTTTTTAGTTCAACAGTTATATTTTATTTAGAAAATCTGTATAAACAGTATACATTTACCATTATTAGTTTTTTACGATTTGTATGTTCATTTATCATCATAGTTTAAGTTATCAGTATTTTAGAGAAAAAGTAAATGATTAGTGCAGTATTATTTAGTTGCTAGTTTTCTTGGAAGCAATCATACAAATAGTGTTACCTCTGTTGAATGAAAAATGGATACTTCAATAACCTTTGCATATTTGACTCTTAGAACATTGTAATTTTGTTAATTTGTCTAAAAACTAGCTTTCTTTCGTTGATGGGCTAATCTCAGGAAAAAATCAGGTTGGAATTGAAAAATTCTTCAAGTGTTGGATAGTCTATTTATCGAGGAAGGCTATGGCATCAATAAAGACAGACATAGTGCATAGGACAAATAGTCAACTATAAAATTGACACACAAAGTGACTACTAAAAGTTAAAATATATTCTAAATGCATCATTAAGTGATTGTAATAGTTGATGTACAGATGCACATATTTATAATGTGGTGATTGTTCACAACTATCAATTATATTACTTTCTTACCACTTACGACAATTTTAGGTATAACACGGAACGGTATATCGGAACAATGTTATGGTATATTTAATGATGCCATTGTATTTATCTATGAATTGCAAAGGAGTGGCCATGAGTTTATTTGCCGTTTCTTCTCATAAGGCTTAACCCCTTGGAAACAGGCAGTTGTGGATCCGCACAGGCATGTCATAGATTTTGTATAAGCATAATTTTTATGAAAAAAAATATGACAAAACAGAGATCGTTGCTATTGTGTGTGTTGATCTACGACTTTAGAGTCTACATAAAAGACGATTTCAAAAAAAAAGAAATACCTAAAGATATTTTGAATTTGCATTTGGATTACCAACTTCAAAACAACATTATAATTAAAGAAATCAAACAAATTCAATCTTACAAATAAAATATAATTTATAATAATTATTTACATCATGATATACCAATGTTACCAGTTGTCAAAACCACCAAAGCCAAAACCACCCTCCTTTTTAGGTTTCTTAGCTGGCACTTCTTGAGTTTTTGTTTGAAGTTTACTAGTTGTAGATAGTTCTTGTAAATTGAGGTATTTGCCTACGCCATTTCTAAATACTTTCAATGGTTGTTGTGCTTTTTTCGGTCTTACACTCGAGCCTTCCGACTCGGCTTTTCTTTTTAATTCTTCTGTTCTTTCTTTTGCCAGCTATAAAGAAGAAAAATGATTTCAACACCAGGATTTAGTTCAAAATTTAACAGTAAAATATATTTCTATCAAATTCGTCAAAGGTTAATATCAAGGGATTGTTTGTAGGTATTGAGAGGTACAAACACATGGGGGTTCTTGTCTGCTGATTCAGTCTTAAAATTTAAATATTATATAAATTAAACATTTTGTGTGAAAACTTTCAATCCATAAAAGAAGTGCTTGATTAACACACAGGGTTTAAGATTTGTGTCAATATTAGCTGGTTTAAGTCTAGTTGATATAGAAAAATTAAAACAACAACTCTGCACACCTGTTCCTCTGCTTCACTGAACGGATCAACAAACACTTGAGCAACTTCAATCACGATGTCCTGTATCGGCCGGTCTTTATTATCAACCTCTATCTGTTCCATGGCAGTTAGAGTGTCCATACCTCCGACCAATTTGCCGAATATTGTGTGCTTACCATCAAGTTGTTTGCATGAGCGAAATGTGATGAAACTGTAACATAATAATATTGGCGGACATGTGACACAACGCCATCTAGTTTCAAACTATTTAGAGCTTGTACTATGAAACTAGATTGACTGATAGAATACTTAGAAACTTTTTTTTGTAAATAAATACATATAATACATAGAAAACACCCAAACTCCAAAACAAATATTTGAAGATCATGCAAACATTTGGTCCGACCAGGGAATCGAACCCGAGACCTCAGCACAGCAGTCGCATACGCTACCACTGCACCACCAAGGCAGTCAGTTATAATATATGTATTATTTATATAAATTACTTAAATTTCTACTCCTCAATTTCCAACTTATACAGACAGACCTGTAGCATGCTGAGTTTGTCACTCATTTTAAAGTATCACCAACTAAAATTATTTTCTCTTTGAATCAAGTACACTTTTCACTACAATACCAACGCTGATAACTCTTAGAGCTTTTGGTCTTAATATTAAATATACTAGCTGACCCGCGCAACTTCGTCTGCGTCTCTCAATAGTAATAAATTTTCTCCGTTTTTGAAACATTCTTCATTGGTGCTTCGCTCCTATTGGTCTTAGCGTGATGATATATAGCCTATAGCCTTCCTCGATAAATGGGCTATCTAACACTGAAAGAATTTTTCAAATCGGACCAGTAGTTCCTGAGATTAGCGCGTTCAAACAAACAAACTCTTCAGCTTTATAATATTAGTATAGATATCCACTTAAATATTAAAATGTTAAAGATTGTAGCAAAAGATTTGTTTACACCATTAATTTCTCCTTACTATTTAGGAGCCGCTTGTAAAACTCTGACTTTGTTAGAGCATCAATGACAAAAAAGTATCTACCAATCATTGAAAATATTTGAATACTGATTGTTGCATTATGCTGGCTATAGATATTTATTTATTTATTTATTTATTTGGTCAGCCAACGATTATTACACTAAACATTACAGAATTGACTTAAAGACTAAACATGTGTGAGTGCAATAATCACTTACAGGCTAACACCACATGCACTTAAAGTAACGGTTTTACAAGTTTAAAATAAATAGGATATAGGTAAATTATTAATTTAACATGATTAAAAACAAGCATAACAACGAAAAAACCATTAATTAATTAGCAATTAAATTAAAATAAAATTAATTCCGTATAAATATTCCGTAATAAATAAAATTTTTGTAAGGAAAGAAAATATTAAAATAACAATTCAGATGAAGTTCAATAAAATAATTTACAATTCATTCAAAGTGATTGTACTTGAGTTATTCCAGTGAGTACTACACCAATAATATTATGCATTAAAACATTTAAAAAGTTTAAATTATGTAACAAGTTAGGATTAAATAAAATAAAAATTGTAATAGTTGTATTGTGTGTCATATAAATAAATAAAAACATATAATAAAATAAATAGAAATTTCACAAATTCAACTTGAGACAAAAATCAAAATTAAAATCAAGATTATAATAAAATTTGTTAATTCTGAATTAAACTCACACTATAACAAAAGAGTGCTATATTTGATAGAGAATAACATTACAGCTCGGTCAACAATACAATGCAGTCATTCATTTTTTTGTGTGAACTGGTTGATGATGCACTTATAAAACTTACTAATGCTATCATGGTGTAAATCAATCAAATCACTGCAGCCATTCAAAATTCTGCATAATCTGGGTATAAGTGAGTTAGTGCCTGACATTGTTCTCCTTAATGGTGGACACAGCGGTGTAATACTGTTTCGAGGATATCTAGACGGAGCCCTGAACCTTACGAGACTTAGTAAATCTGGACAATCGATTAGGTTTCTCACGATTTTAAATAAATATAATGCATCAAACACGTCTCTGCGCACCGACAATGGGTGCATCCTAAAATACTGCAATCGGTTGCTATACGTGGTCAGATGTTTACCTTTGCCTGAAGATAATGTAAGGTATGACAGAAAGCGCTTTTGAACGCGCTCTATGCGTAACGTGTGCACGGCATAGTGGGGTCTCCACACAACACAACAGTATTCCAAGAGACTCCTCACGAGACTATTGTATAACATAATTTTTGTGTTGCTTTTGAACTCTCTAGTATTCCTCATAACAAAGCCTAACATTTTAGACGCTCTTTTAACTATATTATCGATCTGAGGTACAAAAGTAACTTTACTATCGAAAAGAACGACAAGATCTTTAATAGTTTTCACTTCCTGTATATGATATTAAGAGGCTGCTTTACTTTTAGACGATTTACTGTGATGTTTAAATTGAGGTTAGAGAGAGAGAGAGGATTATTCAAATCTGAGTTATAGTTCCAAGATTAGTAAGTTTTAACAATAAATTTTTCAGCATATTATCTTAAATAGTAAATAAACACTAAAGTTAGCAGAATACCTAAAATTTTCATTACACTGAGTTAACAAGCTGGAGAAAAAAGATACCTTTCTACAACTATTGTAAGTCTGTGTGTAAATCTCTTAAAAAAATATTTTTATTTTATATTTTAGCAGTCAAAAGTCAGTAATCATTAACAGCCTTTAATAGTTCACTGCTGAAGATAGACCCTTAAAAGGAGGTTTTAGCCTCATATACCAAGAGGGCCAGATGGGTTGGTATGGGGTTTGTGTCAAGTTTTCCTTCTTTCTGCAGTGCTGTTGTCCTGCGTAGTTTGCTCCCTTAGTCGTCTCTTACGACACTCACGGGATGAGCAGGGGTAGTGACACTGTATTCTTTCCGTCACCACACGGATAGACGCAAAAAGTTACAAAAAGTCAGTAATAAATCATATTTTTTTTTACCAGTTAAAGTGATAGATAGTATATAGCTCCACTTACAACTGTGAGCCATTAGTATTTGGTCCAGAATTGGCCATAGACAGAACTCCACGACCTGAGTGATGCAAATTCGGTTTAACTTCATCTTCAAAGGGTTTCTTCCAAACAGACTCACCACCTAGTCCTGTGCCTGTTGGATCCCCACCTTGTATCTGAAATAGTGGAATTAGAAGTAATATAAATGTACCTATGCAAAGGTTGTCATGATATGATCAAGAAAATTTATTTTAATAATTTTGGCAAACCTTTCTTATTACAGAGTGTAGCCTTAAGTAGGTGCACATTTTTAAACGTAGTCATAGCACGATTTATGTCAAATTTAATTATATTTTCGGATTTTTGACACAACGCCATCTAGTTTCAAACTAAGCAGAGCTGGTACTATAAAAACTAGATTGACTGATAGAATACTTATGTTCTTTTTTTGTAAATACATACATATTATACATAGGAAGCAATATTTGCAGATTATACAAATATTTGGTACGACCCGGGTACCGGGACCGGAGACCTCAGCACAGCAGTCGCATACGCTAGCAGTACACCACCGAGGCAGTCAAAGTCAAAAACTTTATTTATATCAGTCCTCAATGAGATTTTCAAGAGAATCTTACCTACTTACATCAACTTAGTAGGTAAGTATTTCTTTTTTAAAGTTTTAGTAAGTAGTATTTAAAAAATGACTCAAAGCTGATTAGTCATTTTACTACTGCAGTGGTAAAAACATTAACAACAACATAAACCACTGGTTGGTTAAATTCTATTTAGAATTTACTTACCATGAAATTACGTATAGACCTATGGAATTTGGTACCATTGTAGTATCCACTGTTGCAATGCCTTATAAAGTTGTCACACGCTTTCGGCGTCATGTCGCAGTATAACTCGAAGTTCAACGGCCCAAGGTTTGTTACTAATCTCACATAACCTGCAGAAGCGTACACCATTCTTATTTTGTTTTACAACATGTTAAACTGTTTAGATGTATGAGGACTGTGAGGCACAAGCTTAAGCTTTCTCGCTTTCTCTTTCTCTCTCTCTCGCTCTCGCTCTCTCTATCTCTCTTTCTCTTAAAGATTGAATTAAACTAAATGTAAAGTACCAACTTATTTGTAAAATTCAACCATTAAAGGCATTTTATTTATGCGTAAAAAACTTATTCTGTGTAACTATATTAATACGGGAATTCTATTTAAGCATTTTCAAGGTAATTTCGTAAATTCAAGGTTGACTTGTCATGGTAAAATTATACTGGGAGTAAATAAAAGATGAATTATGATAGATAGATATAAGCAAATGATGTGTTATTGCATACACATACAGATATATATTGTGAAATTTCTTTGGTTTCATTTCTTAATTCGATCTAATAGAACTTATCAACCAAGAAATGAAACATTCCTGAGGTTAATATATTGTATGTGTGATAAATACCTATTTTTTTATTAGATGATAATAATTTTTTGACATATATTTATAACTAACCTTTTTTCTTCACTCTATCATATTTGACCTCGTCTTCGCATATTATTGCAGCTTCATGCACTGTCTCGGGCATCATAGCAGTGGATGTGAAACTGGCAGCCACCACACCGGTTGAATAATGAGCTGCATTAAACTTATCTGCAACCTGTAGTTATAATATAATTCAATACCATATTAAACTAACAAGCCTAATCAGTACTTCAACAGTAAACGTCGAAATACTTTACGGTCTGTAGAAAATCATATGAAATAATGAGTTATGTCATCATATCTATTGCCAAAAATCGTTTGCTTTGAATATTTAGTTAAAAAATAATCATCAATAACAGCCTTTAATAGTCCACTGCTGGACATAGGCCTCTCCGTAGAAAGAAGGTTTTGACCTACTACACCACACTGGACAGACTGGGTTGGTATAGGGTTTGTTTCAAGTTTTCCATCTATTTTCAGGGCTGTTGCCCTACGTAGTTACGTTGCTACCTTATTAGTCAGCTCTTGCGACACATATTAGATGACTAGGGGTGTAATAGGTATGAAAATTAATAGAAATTAAAAAATAGGAAATATAATTTTTAATACTCTCAGTTGATAATTCATTTCATTTCAACAGCATTGACAAAGTACATTAAAAAACATAAACATAAAAGTCGAATTGAAAACATTTTACTATTTTAAATATTTTTTATGCACAATGCATGCATATATATTTAAGAGTTCACAATGTAGCCAATTACACATTAATAAAGCAAGTGTATTTATCGTTGTGTCAGTCTATACTTACTTATTGCATAACTTCATGTGGTAATGCAACAGATTATTATAATACGCGATCAAAGAGCCATTTCTAAAGCAGCGACATAACGTCCATTCATATTTCACACACACCAGCTTTGCATGGCACGTAATGCATTAAAAGTTCCGCAGTTATTTGCAGTGCAATAGCACAGAATTTTAAAACAGCACAACTTCTCTATGAGCCCATATCATCAGATGAAAGGAAATACAGTTACAAGTTTAAAAATGCCGTAAATCGACTACATGTAACATATACGTGTATCATGAGTACACGTAGAGATGGAAGGGCATAGTATGTAGCAGACCTCAAACTAGTCATGCATTTGTTTATAGATTTTATTTATTTTTAGGACCTTTCTTGTACAATAAAATTAATGGAATACTATATATATAGCCTAAATAATAAAAAATGTTTAGGTAAATTTTACTATGCAGACAGAAAATATTTTGGAAATTTTTAAATGAGACTGAAATAGTTTTTGTTAAATATTATTCTTTTGTGATTTGCTTTTGTGCATGTTTACTTTGTAGTATTTTTATCTTTTCTATTAATCTGCTATAATAAAAATAACTTGTTTTACACTTTTACCTAAATAATAATAAGTTTAAAAGTTCTATGTCAAGCGATCACCTGAAACACAGGTTTACCCTAGTTCAGGCAGGCAGCAATTAAATTTTTAAACTAAATTTTAATACCCTCATGTTAAGAATCCATGGGTAAAAAAAAAACTGTAAGAATACAATATCAATACTTAAGTTTTGCACTAGTTTAACTTAGTCTAAATGTTAACTAAGATCCATTTCAAATCATAATATCCTACACTGTAACACATGTATTGGTCAAATCAATTAATATTATTATTGGAAAAACTACCTCTTTTTTAACTTCTGTTTTTTCTGGAGCTTTGTACCCTTTTTCCAATTCTGCAAGGATGTCTTTTGTTTCCGCTGATACATGTTTAAGTCTTGCATGAGGATCCTTTCTTAGGGCTATTTCTTCTGTAAAATGCAAATACATGTATGACCAAGATGTGTGTAGATACAGAGAAGGAACATATGTATAAAATTAAAGCTTTACTAATGAAGGTATAAAGATTCCTGTTTATATTAGAGTCCATGGTGTGGGACCACAAATCTAGAGAAGGTTGCAATTCCTCAGATATAATGAGCCAAATTAATGGTTTTTATAAAGTTAAAAGTGTAAACTACTAATGACTACTGGAACAAGAGATAGGGTATAAAAAGGATGTAATAACTTTGATACCTACACTATGAGTTAGCCCAAATTCAGAGACCAGTATGTATGAAATGGGACAGGAAAGGCTTTGCGTTTTACATGACCTAGAAAATGTCTTTAGATACATCGGTGAAGTATGTGAAAATCAAGAAGAGAAATTAATGGAGCTGAAATGAGCAATCAAATCGTAGAAAATTTTAGCATGCATTTATACTATTTTCAGGAGAAAATGAGAAAAAGTTTTCAGGTAGAAAACAATGTACATAATTTTTTCTCACTTTATTAATTATCTTACTATCCTGGCACAAGCATTTAAGCTAGTTGTATGGTTTAGAAATAGTAGCATAGTCCTTTTAATTACAAAATGAATGAATACAGGTTAATACCTTCAGTCTCCACTCTTAAATTATTCTTCACATGATGAAATGTTGATATATTGAACTTCTTCAAGTCATTAGGGTCTTGTATTGTAATGATATCATTTCTTGCAAATGGTGTATCATTAATAAGGTCCTTCCAGTTCTTCCCTTTGATGTTAAGTTGTTCAACCGCTTCATATGAGTATACATTGCCGCTAGTTTTGATCCCAACAATATGAGAATTCTTAGTAAACGGCTTAAATAGTACAGGGCAGTGGTAATCTTCTTGTGCGTTTTTGAAGAAATTTAATTTTGTTAAAGATTTTATATCCAATTTCTGTAAGAAAATAGATTCTGGGCTAAAAAATGTTATATGAATATATGCAAATATTTTAAAATGCAAGGATTTTAAAATTAATTAACTTTTACCCAAGTCAAGCCATTCAAATAACCTGAAATATTATTTAATATATAGAAAAAAGGCTATCCTTTAGGTGCAAAATAAAATTAATCTTTTTATATTTTGCTGTTTACTTTGCCTAATTATATTTTAGGAGTATTTTTACTTTGGTGATGGTCTAATATCTTTGTACATCAATGTTACTTACCTTACCCGTAACAGGATTGATCTTAAATTTCTTTAGAAACTCTAATACAGCCTGTAATTCAAATATATTGCCATCAGCGTCGCAATAGGGATCGTTAAAAGGCTGAAGACATAGGCAGCAGTGATCATATGGTAAACGCTTGAAACTGGTATCCTCCTCCTTAGCAGTGCCAGACCTTTTACCTCCATATAGCGTCGTCCACTCCGTGTACGTTAAGTACCTAAATATATTTAAAATTATAAAATATACACGACAAAAAGAAAGACTATAGTTTTTGCCAACACATTAATTTAATCTCACATTTTATCCTTTTGATGTTGTCTTTTACCCATATTGTTAGATTATTTCCACTTACTGCAAATTCAAAAAAATATCTTCGGATTCTAGTTTCTTCTTCTTCTTCTTCTTATTATATGGCAAACTGTGCCGATGTCTGTTTCGACAATTCAGGATTCTAGTTTATTATCAAATTACCTAAATTAACTTTACTCTGACAATAACGTCTAGCAAGATGACATATGTGTGAAATAGAGATGTCAAAATGTCGATTTCGTACATTAATCGATCGATAATTTAAAAAAGTCAAATTATTCTGATCAGGATCTTCAGGATTAAATGCTTTTTCCTCATCTAAAAATACGGTAGTGTCTTGTGCCACATACTAAGGCATGTACTCAAGCAAATCTGATTTACTCACTTGTTAATTTTTTAGTCAAATAAAAAAACACGCTTTTGCACGAAGTTAAAAAAAAACATTATTTCGTAAAAAAAAAAGGGTGGGATGTGTATCAATATAGGTACTTTATAAAATAATAATAACTTGACTGTCTCCAAAGCCTGTCAATGAAATATTTACAACACTTGACATCTAGCACCACACGCATCAAAACCATGCCCTCTTCACAATTTATTTTTAAAAGGATAAAGACTTATTTATTTATTCTCTTTTACTGCAAAATAGTTTGAATGGTTTTTAGTGTTATTGATATTATTGAATTTCGTCTTTCTTTCACTATTCATTATACATCGACATTTTACACACACATATATAAGCTTTCTTAGGGCTCACGCAGCGTGTGTGTCGAAATTACGTATAGAACTAAACGGCTTAGTGCAGCGTGACTGACGACCGATGGTCGCGCGACTCGCAGCGACTGGTTGCTGCAAGTTGCCAGAGGTGGATTGCTATTGCGCAGCGCAATTTTTTTTGCCATTTGTTTTATTACTAAATGACTAGGTGAACTTTGCATCACCTAAACTAATTTATCTATGCATATAATAGTGTCCCTTTTTTAATACTATGTAAGAAGGAATCAAATGTGCTTATTTTTAACCCCGACGCAAAAGCGACGGGTGTTATAAGTTTGACGGGTCTGTGTGTGTGTATGTCTGTCTCTGGCATCGTAGCTCCCGAACGAATGAACCGATTTTGATTAAGTTTTTTTTTTGTTTGAAAGGTGAATTAGTCGGGATAGGCGGGAGTATTCTTAGCTATGTTTGATGAAAATCGGTCCAAGATTGCCGCCGCCACAACATAGCGGATTACATATTTTTTCACAACTCCCTCAATATGGGTATCAAATGAAAAATAGCTTGACTAGTAGTATAATATACACTATAACAAATTTAAAATCCAAAATGTGTGTTGTGGATTTTGAAAATTTTTAATTTAATTTTTTTTCATTGTATGGTAATCGAAAAATCTATCTTCACGTTGTCTGAGATCATGATACATTTGATAAAATTCGCCAAAAGAAGTGTGTATTTAGCATATAAATTGGATGACTTAAATCTTCTCATCCTTCTGGTGACAAGAATCCGTAAAACAGAATTTTCAATTGAAAATTTTGTTTAGAAAATTAATTAACGTAGGTCGAAAGGGCTAATTGAGATCTATAATATGAGATTTTTTTTATTTTGAAATTTTAATATCTGTTGGCTGGAAGGTGCCCGGTCTAAGAAAGAGAATAAATATTTAATGCTTGTACTTGATGCGTTGCAAATTTTCCTGGGACGAAACGTGACTTATGTCAACGATGTCAATCGCCATAATGTTGGTAGCTTAGCAGTGGTAAAATTGCATTGATCATGGTAGATAAATATTTTATCAAAAAAGTAAATGAAGCTTATAAATTATGACAAAAAAGATAATAATTTATTTCTTTATTCTGAAATTTAATATAAAATATTATAGAATGTAACTGTCAAGTGAAGATGAAACTACTAGAAACTACTAGAAATCTGCAATGTAATTTTTGGTAGTCTATTGAGAAGACTATTGGCAACAAATAGAGATGGACATTTAAAATATACATCGATGTTTTTTTCGATGTAATGCATCGATCAGTCACATCGATGGTAATACGATGTATTGAGAAATACATCGATGTTTCTTAAACATCGATTATTTTCGCCATGACGTGTTTTAGGTTAGGTTAGGCCTTAATTAAAAAGAGCCTAAAGAGAGGAAAAAAATTTTGAGATGGAGCCCGCACCAGGAGCGGGCCGGCGCTAGGAGGGGTCCGGATGTCTTAATAACAGCTGTTCCCGGATCCCTCCTATTACAGGCGCAGAGTGGCACACCGTGTGGTTTTAGTCGGTTCGAGTCCGACACACCACCCCGCCGCAAACCCCGGTGGGGTGACGGTCCGAGGGGATTTCCACACGTAAAAAAAAAAAATTAAAATTAAAAAAAAATTAATTAAAAAAATATATATATATTAATAAAAGCAGGAAATATATTTATTCAAATTCAAAATCACACAACCAACACATTTTTCTTTACATATTCCAATATTTTTGTCAATGCTATGTAAAAACAAAAGTTTACTTAATCTCTTCCCCTTCAGTCGGTTCCTTCGTTCAATTCAGCGAGTATTTATTTAAAGCGAATTCATAATCTAGTATTTTCACATAATAAAAATCAAGTTTAATTTAATTTTCCCGCGAACAAACGAATAATACGAGTCGAACGACCTACAGCGTTCCAACGGGCGAATTAAAAGAACCCCGTTCAATAAACTATAGCCATTTGGCGGCTATACAACACTATGCTCATTCATAATTTGCTTGGTCGATGCATCGAATAAAAAACATCGATATATATTCGATGTTGAAGTATTAACAATACATCGGTTTAATACGATGCATCGTTACTATACATCGAGTGTTTTAAATAAATCGATGTATATCGTCCATCTCTAGCAACAAATGAAAAAATAATTAAAAAGTTAAAAAATGTCCGAAAGTGGTTGTGCTTCGTGTAGTTTTTCTTAATTCATACTTTTACACAGCTAATATTATTTACTTTCTCAAGCACACTAGCTCAATTACCTTTTGTTTATGAGTCTGTAAGTATTATTATATTGCAATTATCAATTTTGATTGTATTGTATTAAGTTTCCACCTGAGCTTGTGTGCATTCCGTGAATTTCAGTGGTTGTTTGTGTTGGTGAGGGTGACGGACAAATGGATGAAATGTGGTAGAAGTCGATGCAAGCTCTGAAAATCTTGCCGGAATACAGCTAGTTGAAGTTATAACTTAAATAAGGTAGATTCAACTTTAATATTATACTATTAAACGGTCAATGTGCGAAAAGTAACAGGCTGCCCATTTACGCTTTGCAGTGCGGAGCATCTAACACGGGAGTTTCCATTGATAGTGTTGCACAAAATTTGTACATATTGTGGATGAATTTCTGTATATTCTATCGGTTGTGTATCGAGAGACATCTTTTTCATTCATTGGGGTCAGTGGTGATTCAAATATTGTAAATTATCGGATAACGCCAGCCCACAAGATGGCCGACTGTTATTCGTAAGGTACAAATAAATCTTTTACCATTACATTTTATCACTGTTATTATAAGTGGTATTGTTTAGTAAATGTCAGTAGTGTATAGTATGATTTGTTCATTTCAATTCTGTTGTTTAGTAGACATTTTAGTAGTTCTAGGAATGTCTTTGTTCTAGTGTAAATGTTCATGCTTGAAAAAAAAAATGTTTAACATTTGTTAATTTGTGACTAAAAGTTAATAATTTTTTGAACGTAGCTATAATTATCTTTTTAGTTAAGCATTCGTCCGTTATTGTGTTCGTTAATGCTCTTTACACAGTATCATGTCATTGCACTTTCAAAGATTTTTTGCACATAACAATGTTGTGTCATCAAACCTGTTTATTTTAAGAAACATCATTCCAAGAATGTTCTCATGCTATTGTGAACAGTGCTAATGCTAAATTTCATTGAACCCCATGAGAGCATGCACTTTAAACCCCATCATTTTAATAGAAACACAATCATTTCACTGTCATTCGCCAACTAGCTTGTACACTAGCTATTTAGTTTAGCTGCATGCGACATTTGGTGCTTTTAGATAATGTCCGGTGCCTCTGGTTCATCAGGGAGTGGTACGGGTCGCGGCAGAGGAGGTGGTGGCTCAAGTGGAGCTGTTGTAGAGAATAAACCAGAAGCAAAAGAGAACAAACCAAATCCCAAGATGTCAAAGGCTCTTGGCACATCAGCTAAGAGAATCCAAAAGGAGCTTGCAGAGATCACATTAGATCCCCCACCAAATTGCAGTGCGGGACCGAAAGGAGACAATTTGTATGAATGGGTGTCCACCATCCTGGGACCACCTGGGTCAGTTTACGAGGGAGGCGTTTTCTTCCTTGACATCCACTTCTCTCCAGAATACCCATTTAAACCTCCTAAGGTACTTTATTTATTTACTTATTTGCATTTTGTTTTATTATTATTACTAAACTGGGCTGATCACTTACTTGAAATAGACCTGCATAATTAGTATTTAATGGCCCACTTTCAATTATTTAAAAACAGTTGTAATCATTGTCTACATCAGAATGTCTACTGTGGAATACATTTCCACAAAAAGAAAAGATGTTATTGTTTGTTCAAGTCTATAATGTTTATGAAAGTGTGGGTATCCTTAAATTATAATTCTGTAATAATAAAAAAAAAATTGTTGCACTCAAACACTATAGTGTAGGTGCCAGATAACATGGCAAAAAAGGTCATTCTAATAATTGTAAGTGAAAAACATGTAAAGGTAAAAAGTAATTTATGATTCGGAATAGTTAAAAACAAACACAACATCTCACTATAAATACTCTATCCATTATTTGTTATTATTATAGTAAGGCATGATGGCCTATACATTTTAACTTCTAGAGTTTTTTGTAACTTATGTCTATAATATTGAGAGCTTGTACTTGGTAAAAATAATGTTGTATTCTGAATTAGTATCCATACTCCATTTCTTCTACTTCTTTGGTTACTAATACCCAGAATATTTATGTCAAGCTTAGATTTGCAAAATGGAATTCTGTGTTAAAATTCCTTCCCTGTGTTAAAAGTCCTTATTTTGTTATAAGTCCTTTTGTTTTTTTGCATACTCAACCTTTTTTCCTCAGAAAGGTTAAAGGGTTTTTGTTTGTTCACAGTTTGACAAAGTGTTATCAGTTTTTGTGGCATTCTTATATCCTTGTTTATTTTAACAGTATTTCATTATATAGTTGGAAAGGAAAGTGGTTTTAACATAATTTATCAAGTGGTAATATGAGTGTTTTAGAAATAGAATACCATGTAGTCTGTTGTTAAAGTAATTTGTTATGTTAAAGTATACGGTCCCAAAACTTTATCATAGTCTTAAAAATTGTTAGTACACCTTTGTTTTATACCAGCAAAATGCATGCAACAAATACCTCATTTACGAGAGACTGACATCATTCATTAGATGTGTTTCCGACTTCATGCAACGGTTATTTTTTTTTAAGAATTTTATAATAATAATAATAATTTTAAAATACATAAACAGTACAATGACTAGCTCATGCCACATTTGGTTTTGCTTCAATTATTCAACAACTTCCATTTATTTGTTATTCACCCTAATTCGTTCTGGACCGGACTGTATGCATGCAGGCCAGTAATGCTGTTTATCATCCTCTCTGATTCAAAACAATATAAGTAAAAAATAAGGTCGTAACCTAGTAAGGTCGAGGTAACAGCTTACCATACAGTCTAGGTAACAGCTTACCATACAGTCTAGGTAATATAGTTCGCAGATAGTTATATCCGTCAGTAAACTATATATTTTATATCTGCCATAGCCACCTAAGTGTTTACCTTTATGTTTATTTTATATACTTACGTATATTTAATTCATTTCTATTGCTTATATTTTAAATTAATTTTAATATGGCAGATTTAATTTAAGGAGTCAGAAACTCAAACATAGAAATGACTGAAACAGAATTTGCCTAGCTTCATTCTCAGTTTCAGTTTTTTAACATACAGTTTTAGGGCCCTATCCATTTTTTTATAACAACTTGTAATCATTATTAGTAGGGTATATAATATGATCTAACTTCAAAGGTTTCTGTGTACGTTATTTTTGGTATATTTAACCTACTTATATTTATTTAGAAGGTACTCCTCCTAAACTACGATACTAATAGTAGCATTTACATTTGAAAAGTCTTTATGTTTTCAGCTACCTGTAAAAAACAACAGTATTTTGTTTTCTTTATTTTTTACCGAACAAAGTTCGATTTGTTCCAATGAGCGATTTTAGTACCCACATTCGCAGCTGGACTTGTGCTTTGTTGTCTAGTCTTTTATATTTGTGATACACAAAGGCTTTTTTTTTAAATTTCCAGGCTATATTTAAATTACATATACTCGAATAAGCATCGAGAGTCCGAGAGTATTTTTCAACTAACCTTTTTTTTTTTGGTTCGGACCGCAGTTTTTGTGCGATGTCGGAACAAAGACCGATTCTAAGAAAACGATTTAGGTAACAAGACCCTTTAGATCAGAGGTCCCCAAACTTGTTTGTCTCGTAGCTCACTTTTGAGAGACCCCTATTTACTTAATATTTCGTTTAAAAATATATTTAATCTGGTATACTGTTCCTCACCTTCCTATTTATTAATCGATAAGTTCTTAATACACCATCTATTCAAATGTCTGTGAAAGAAGACAATATTATCTTTTCGCGTAAGGCGGGCTAGGGTACCGTTTGGTACAGGACATAAAGTTTTTTAGGGATATACGGGATATACTAATTTACTATTAATGTTATGAAATTAAAGAGAAAACGTACAGTACTATCATCACTGTATGACTACTGTATTGTATCACTGTGTTACAGGTAAAAACTAAACAATTTTTGTGTGTTTGTTATAAATTTGAGGAAAGTCGAAATTAAAGTCACGATCTGTAGTATCAATGAGGTCTACTATGAGGAATCCCCGTTTATATCCCCAATTTCGGATCCATAATTTTTTATTCGCTTTAGGTCGAGACTTGGGGTTCGATACAGACCACTTTTCGGTAACCAGTCTTTAAATAGTCGATCTTCATTGTAGAGTATCTTGACCATTTTAGAACATGATTAATGTTTAGAAGGAACTACAGACATACGTATCAAAATGTTTCCGGAACTATTTTAGCCCGCGGCTACGCTCGGAAACTGCCTTTACCTAGATGAAAAATACTCTACCCTTTATTTTACTTCGGACAATATTTACATGAAACTATAACAAAGGAATTGACTTCCGCTTTTATAATATTAGTCAGGATTACGCTTACCTATTTACTATACTACACGAGATATAATGGCGATTTTGAATTGGCTTTCGTGGCTATTTAGCCACGAAGTAAGCGTACAGACGTAGTTTTATATTTGATCTCATTAAAGTACACACCAACGAGACGACATAATAATAATAATAACCTCACTCATCTCACACGACCGGTTGAACTCACGTAGAGTCAGCCTATGGTAACCAGACTGCTGATAAACATACTTATAAATTTCTAAATTACACCTGGACACTGAAAAAATGATCATGCTCATCACACAATGTTTGTTCTGGGCGAGAATTGATCTCTGGCTTGGCAGTCAGTAATTTGCACCATGCCTATGCCTAAAAACTGAGTTAAAATATTTCTGTCAATCTGTTTGTTCGGGTTATCTTCAAAACGGCTGGACCGATTTTGATAATATGTTACTACCTGTCTTTATAAGGTATACTAAGGCAGCGCTTAAATTGAACAAACATTTTCAATTCAAATTCAACGCGAACAAAGACGCGGGTACCAGCTAGTTTGATATATTATTTAAAAGGAATATCTATTTTACTTTTTTATTACTAAAACGTGGCATAAAATCTATTTATGTCAGTCTGAATTTGTAATTTTAATATTTTCTCATTTAAATGTTTCAGGTAACATTCCGCACTAGGATATATCATTGTAATATCAACAGCCAGGGTGTGATATGTCTAGATATTCTCAAAGACAACTGGTCGCCGGCACTTACAATATCTAAAGTTTTACTATCAATATGTTCATTGCTCACTGACTGTAATCCTGGTAAGAATTGAACTTAAAATATATTTACATAGTGTTATGAAATATATTGGGTTTTTATTATTTATACTTATTTTTTGAAGTAAAAATTTGATTCATGTATCTCGAGAGGTCAAAGCCCTCTCGCCCTTTCGTCCTCATATTTGTTTTGTTCGTACCGACGTGCTATGGTACGGTTTATTTTTATCGATACTAGTTTATCGACGTATACGTCTGCACAATAATGATGGAAAACTTTTAAATTTCGTAACTTGTACATTATTTTCGGCTAATTATATTTTTCTTCATTGCCACAATGCGTTGTGGTCGTATAACTTGATAGCTACGAGTGCTACGACACGTATTTCTCTCTGCGGTCTTACTGTAATTGCCACAACGCTCTTTACACGAATTTTGTGAGTTGTTTCTACGTTAAATAAGCGTTTTGGTACTTTGAGAAACATTAGACGTGTCTTAATTCACTTTACCCTTTTTATGGAATAACGTAACTCTGTTTAATAAAAAATGCACGAATGAATCGATAGTGTGTCACAATTATGCAAAAATGCGCAAGTCAAATCCGGTGCCTGTGATCACTTCGAAAATAATAAGGTAAAGTTGAGGTAATAACGAGTCTGTACACTTTCTAGCGGACCCACTGGTGGGCAGCATCGCCACGCAGTACCTCCAGAACCGCGAGGAGCACGATCGCATCGCGCGCCTGTGGACCAAGCGCTACGCGACATGATTCATTAGCCGTCACCCGCTCGCCAAGGAACAACCTGCAGTATCATACTCAATACCATTCTGTTCTAAATCCATCCTGTTCACATATGTAAGCTTATAATTATAACCGAACATTACACGCCCAGTGCGACACCACAGTTAGCTCACTCACGAACTCCTTTAACAATATGGCGCACTGGGTGAGTGAAGTTTATACAGCTTATTAATTTTTAGTTGCAAATTAATGTGATGTCAACATGCTTGAAACAGTCTGAATTGTATAATTTTAGAAAGACGAAAGATTGAGTTACGAATTGAACGGTTTCTGTTAATGTTTCTAGCTCTGTGTTATATATTACAGTGATAAGTTTACTAATGAAGGTGTATCGTAGGTTTAACCAGTGAATTGAGTCAATTTTGCCGCTTTATAGCGATGATCTCATACACTTCAACTGTTACTACTTATGTATAAGGTATATCTGGTGTATTGCGATACCTATAATGATATAAATTTCAAAATAAATCGCATTCGTGTTATGTAAAAGTGTTTTTGATTTCAGGGTATTCGTATGCATGTTTTATCGGTGCGATTAATATTTAGAAAGACATTTACTAGCATTTCAACTGCTGTCAGTGTCTCCACTCTGTCAAAGTGATTAATTTAGCAGCATTACAGTTTTCATAATTATTATAAATTTTTATGTGATATACATATTAAACTAGTTAGTAGTTCTTGATATATGAGAATTCGAAAAGTAAGTTCTAATTATTCCTATATTAAAAGTAATAAACTACACAGAGTAACAAATGCATGCGCCCAAGTTGCATACATTTTCTTCCTCCACCAGTATGTCTTCAAGTGACAATGGTTGTACTCATTCTTTAAATAACCTCTGTTGTTTTAGTACTTATATTTCTTAGCATGAATCTGACAGAACTGGCAGCATTGACAAGTACAAACTAAAATGATCTACTAATTTCCTGAACAAACCCCTTTACTGAGTACTACAGTGCTTTGTAATTATAGCCTCTGATTTCAGATAAATCAGTTTCATAACTTTTAGTGAGATGTCACATGTTGGCAGAGGAATAAGTGAAAAATATATAGTTTTGGAATGTGTAGGACTGATGGAGAAGTGTCGGATGGTCTAAATTGTAGTCATTCTTGATTAGCCGGTACTTTGAGTACTATGTATTGTATTATTTTTACATTAACCAAATATAGTTTTGGGTTTTATTTCTTTACGGAAACAGAATTAGAGCATTAAAGCCTGTTTTGATTGAAACCAGGAGAAAATTACATTAGATAGGTTTTTACACTTGGTCCATTGTGTTAAGGATTAGATAGCCAAATTATTTGAAATTTATAGACCTTTGCGACTTATGATCCTGGGGATATTGTTTATTTGTTTTGTATTGTGCAATTGTACGGGGTTTGCTATAAAATCTTTAGTTATATTTTTGCATTATCAATATATAAAAGAAATGATTTGAACTTCGATTGCGTAGGATAGGTCTGGTATTATTATATCCTATTTATTTTTATATTAATGATCTTGTGAAGGTATACATGTTACTGTGCTGTGCTATCAGTAAGTTTCTTAAATACGTCATTATACATTGAGGTAGTGATCCGACAATATTTAATGGATGCCATTCGAGAAGCAGTGGTTTTGATGTGTTTTACTCAATATACAACACATATCAAAGTTACATAAGAACCAATGTTGATTTCTCAATAATTTATGTGCTGCCACTACTTCTACCTTCATGAAGTGCCAAAACTCAGGCACTGCCCTCCGCTCCAGTCTGACATCTCCCAAATTTTTCAAATATTCCGTTTAGTATGTAAACAGTTATAGATGTAAGTTATTTTATTGTCTAGGTAATGTATAACGTATGTCTTAACCCTAGTACTATAGTATCCTTAGCGTTGTAATGATTTTAGCTAAAAGTGTATGTCGCGCGTATATGAATGTTTTGGTAATACCGTCGTACTATAATTTTTATAGAACGAGTGATTTCATTGTGTTGGAACTGGTGCTGTGAGATTCAAATGCTTGCGACATACAACAGAGAGATGAATACTGATACTGTATTCGGGACTGGATATATTGTCATTGTGATTTTTTAAATTATTTTATACTGTGACACGAAATATGTTGCTTGCAAGACGACAGCCTATATTTAACGCGACTGATGTTCCTCGAAACTACATGTTCACGCTCTGATACCTAATAACCATCTTTTGTTAAATTTATCATGGTATAAAATAGGAAAATAAAATGTGTGTAATAGGACACTGATTGCTGTTTCATTTTCATTTGGTGATAATTAAAATACATTTTAGTTACATAATCGAAGATTTTATTATAAATATACATGAAAACATTAAAAACGTCAATGCTACAAGGTGGATTTACATTTGTTGGACGACGCAATCTGTAATATATCGCGTCATATTTGTGACATTGCGTCTAATCAGCTAACGAATTATAATATCTTGTTCACCACATCTAAATTGGTTAAATATGACATACAAATAGTAAAGGGTACAATAATTTAAATACTAAGGTTGAATTGAGATTTCAGAGAATATAAAAAGTAGGAAATTTTCAAAACGGTTTTGGCATAATGTAACCACTTCTATTCGAAAAATCAGTCTTCTACACTGAGCACACTTTATGGTGACACTAAGAAAATCTGTGCAACGTGCTTAAATCACTCCTATTACTTGCAAGTATATGGCAAAACTCCACACATTTTCGATGACACTATTTACTCTTGTTATAATATTTATAGCACTTAAACATAAACCTTATATATAAACTCAATTTGTTCTTAATAACGTAAATTATTTCAAAATATACAGTAAATACAAAATAAACATTGAAGGTGTACTTAAAATCGCAACATAGTTAGGACACTGCTATGTCACATGTGGTTATCGTAGAAAAGGTACCATATCTTGTGTTTAAACAGTTTCGTACTGGCTGCGTATGGAGCGTGCGAGACAGCATGCGAATATTACACCCAGGAGCTGCAACAATATAATTAAATATTTAATAACACAAAAAAAAAAGACGCATCCAAAGTTCTGACGGTAAGCAGTTGCAGTATTCCAACAGAACCTAGGCAACTGTGTATTTGGAATGAATTTTATTCTTCAGGTACGATTTTAGATACAATTCCTAAGCAACTCCTAAACTAAATTTTTATAAATTGACACTCCACAAGCTTGGATTTGATTGATTACTGTGATGAAAGTATGTGACATCTATGATGCAGCATATTTGCTGAAATTATTGTGTAATAACAGCTTAATAGGGGTATATATGTTCTGTGAGCTTAATTTGCCGGGGTACAACCTTAGGTCCAACAAACCTAGGTTTGTTCCAACCTAAAAAAGACGCTTGTGACCTTTGCTGTGCTTAAGTGGGCAACGTTTTAGTAGAATATTATCAGCATCATATTGAATTCAAGAACATGGCTCGCGAGGAAAAAACATGGATTGACAAGCTGCATAAAATTGAATCATTCACACTGTGGCTGCTCATTTTAAGCTATTAAACTGAGTCCTTATTTGTTGGCCAGTGCTCTTTAATTCAAAACAAAGTTAGCAGTGCATAATTTCACTGTCTACAACTTTGGACCAGACGATGTCGCATGCTATTGGTTTGATGAAACCACTTGTGACTTAAAAGCCACCACCTACGCTTATTTTCTTGTGGATTAACAGTAACAAATCTGTTAAATGAAGATGCAAAAGATGTAGTGATATGGACTGATGGTTGCACATCGCAAAATATACATAGTATCGTTTCTAATGCGCTACATACTTAGTCTAGCCATGGATAAAAATATTACAATAACACAAAAATACCTCGAAAGGGGACACACACAGATGGCGGTGGACTCTGTCCATTCCGTCGTTGAGAGAAAGTTAAAAAACATGTAAATATATTTGACTATGCAGTATGCAACGCAGTAACTAAACAAGCAAGAAATAAACCCTCTCCATACAGTCATTCAACGGGTCATACTTTTTTCAAAGACTAAGGGATTAAAGAATATCAAGTATATGTGACTCCACACAACCTGGCCGTACTGCTGGCGATGATTGTGTGGTGGACCTGCGAGTATTAAAATATAACCCTGGTGGGACTATTCAGTATAAAAAAACATTTCAAAGATGAAAACCCCATTGCCAAAGACCCTGAAATAACTTAACACTTACAAATAGTCTTTCATTGCTGTTTTCATCTAGAGTGCCAATATCAGAAAGCAAATATCTGCACTTATAGCAACTAAAAACCGTCATTCCTGGTGATTGTCATTAGTTTTATGATAACTTATAAAAAAAAAAACTTTTAATGTATAACTCATAAAGTCTATGATACGTGTCTTGGATGATTTTGATGTTCATATTATTTCATTTAAGGTTTGGCTGACTATTTTCACCTTTAATTATTTGATTTTTAGCTCTTTGCTTTGTTATGTTTGTAGTAAGTAATAATTATAATTATGCTAATAGATAACTACAATATATATGATAACGTTTTAGTGGAGTGACTATAAAAGCTAGTTACTACCAAAGTTAAAATCATGAGACTGATTTAGTTGAGTAAATATAACTTCTTTATAATAATATAATTCTGTCTCCCTCAAAATTGAAAACAGCGTAAGTGTATTTTCTTGTTAAATATTGATTGGATTGAATTAAATAATAAAATAAAAGTTAACTAATACACATTTCTAAATAGCTTTAAGTTCAGACAGTTATGTGATAAGTACAGCGGTAGTTATTTAGTTTTTTCGTTCTCCTGTAAAATTTGCCACACCTAAGTTACGCGGTATTGTCTGTTGCTAGTTACGCGGTATTGCAGTATCAGCGACGATAGTTCGGATGGCATGTATATTTACCTGGACGATAGCAACTCCTAATCCCACACCGCCGAGCACCATAGTAATACTCTTAAAATACGCAACCAGCAGGGGCAGGCAGCCTTTTGTGTGGAAATGTTCTGATTGTTCAGTGCAGGGCGCCGGTACGCCGCCTGAGATTTCTTGGCCAGCGCAGCAGGTAGCAGGCAGCGACATGTTGTTGGCCGCCCAGTCCTTAGGGCTGTTGATACCGCAGCATTGTAACTGGAATATGTTTAAAATAATATATTAAATTATTAAAGAACGCCCTTTTGGGAATAATACTCGGTTTTGTTTCATTATTGATGAAGTGAGTCCTAATTATTTAGAGGAAAAACACCATTTAAAGGGTAAACAGTAGAGCTAGTGTTATATATAATCGAGCCATATATATTAGGTTTCTAGAAATCTTATATACATTTAGCATCAGATCGACCTGATGTGAGTAAAGAGTACCCATTTAATTATGAGACCTCTAATTTCGTAGTTAAAGGAGGTATATTTTTTGTATTAGGGTTATTAGACTCGATAATTGTACAATCCGTGAATGGTGAATTTTGGTTTGTTTAAAAATAGGAAAACTTTCCAGAACTTTATTTTTATAATTCTTGCTTTAGATAATCAACAAACAACATGATTGCATAGATATTTAAACCTTAAACCATCAACAGTCACGTAACTTTATCGTTCAGTAAATATTTATTCAATGACAGTACAGAGATATTGATATACTTCATTTGAACAACATTGAAATCGAGACTACGCAGTTATTGAAGTCTTGCAGTTATTGAAAATAAATCTTATAAATCTACTACAATATTTAAAAAATACTACTGAACTTGAATTGTTATTTAGATACATGTTGACGGGCCTATTGGTCTAGTGGTTAGTGACCTTCACTGCTAAGCCGGAGGTCCTGGGTTCGATTCCCACCCAGGACAAATATTGTGTGATAAACAGTGTCATTTGTTCTGCGTCTAGGTGTAATTTATCTATAATATGTGTGTATTTAAAAATATATAAGTATATTCATTAGCAGTCTGGTTACCATAGCAAAGGCTCTGTCTAGTTTGGTTAGTTTATGTTACATTATTATTATATTATTACTAACTAGTAATTATCTATACCTCAATAAAATCAGTAAAGTTTAGAAACCTGACTATTGTAGCGAGTTTTCAATACATACATTTGTAACTAAGCTGTTCATAAGATAGTGAACTGTTCTAGTTTGTGTAGCTTGAACTCCAAAATGATACTTACATCAGTCTGAAGAATGTCAAAGCTCTTGGCAACGTCCTTATTGGTCGGGTACTCCTTCATGGTCTTGTTCAGCACTTCCATTATAGAGTTTTCTAGGTCTTGATGCTTTACGTAGCCTGCAATACCGACAGCCAACTCAGCCACGAAGATGATCAAGAGGAATACAGAGAACTGGAATAGAAGATAAACGGATCCATTTCATACTTGTATATACATCATTACTTATATTATAAATTTAAAAGAAAGTTTGTTTGTTTGTTACGTTTTCACGCCTAAACCAATTAACCGATTTAAAAAATTATTTCACCAATAGAACGCTATATTTTCAGTGAGTAACATAGGCTACGTTTAACCGCGAAAATTAACCGACATACAAGCGGGCGGCGTTGCAAGCAAAAGCTAATACATAAAATAAGGTTTGGGAAGTCTAATGTTAATATTTTAATAAGAATCACAAGTAATAACAATTTGGTGTGTAAAGAGCTTTTTAACAAGTGCCGAATAACCTGTTTTTAATAAACAAAGAAACGTTTTATCTCCTATCATCATCATCATCAACAGCCTTTAATAGTCCCCTGCTGGACATAGGCCTCTCCTTAGATAGGAGGTTTGGGCCTGCTATACTACGCTGGCCAGACGGGTTGGTATAGGGCTTGTGTCAAGTTTTCATTTTCTCTGCAGTGCTGTTGTTCTGCGTAGTTTTCTCCCTTAGTCGGCTCGTACACACTCGACACTCACAGGATGAATAGAGGTGGTGACACTCTGTACTCTTAATCGGTTACCACACGGAGCTATCGCCTATCACATATCAGATATTCATTAGCACGACATTTGTTTTAATGATCCAATGGGTATTAAAACAGACCGCTCTAATAGACTAGAATAAGACTATGTGCAATAACTAACAATGGACCATTAACATCGAATATACCTCAATTAGGTACAAACCTAATGTGCACAATGCACATAAGGTGATAATAATATAGTATACACAAAGTAGGTCATTTATCAAAGTGATTAAGGCTCTTCAAATAGCCTTATAACTTTCGAACCAAGGGGTTCTAGAGCTCAAGCATTTGCACGCCATTTTTATTTAATCGTAACCACGCTCGCAGCACAACCAGACGACCGCATTATAATTAATTATCAGGATACAGAGGGGACTACGCAACAAAACTGTAAATTTAAAACTAAGTATAGACTTAATATAAAGAAAAACGCAGACATTGCTATCTGTTTATAACTAAGAAGAGCGACTTCTGTTTCTTGTATGCTACGAGTATGTATTAATGCCTATTTAAAAAACTTGTTACCTATGATGCGTAATTTAAATTTAAGCGTTCAATATGTATGGTAGTAAAATGCAACTACAACAAACAAATAACTACGAAGGCTGCAATGTTTTCAATGGTGGTCAGCATTACTTATTGAAAGTAACAAATAGATAAAAAAACTGTCAGACATATGACTCAACAACCTTTTCAAGTCTGGCAAAACAACTGATGTTTGTATAAGGATTTTTGTTTATTCTGTTTGTTTTTAATCTGTCCTACTTTATATTTTTGTTGTGTCACAAAACACAAGCCAAATACTTACATTGTAAAAATATTATAGTAGGTAACAATGGCCAAAAATATTAAGGGCTGACGTCACGACAGCTGGCAGTTGGTTGGCCCGATGCCGAGTAAAATAAATCGAATCACTTTTGAGTATGTCCTGATTTAAGAAAGTAAGAGATATGTTTTTATGACGGCTGTTTTTTTCACTCGGCGAGTAACAGATTTTGTAAACTGAGGCAATTATTTTCAAATTATAAAGGTACTTATGATAATCTACTCGCATTATGGAACAGAAAACTACATCCTGCATCCTGGCCATACGACCTCTTTTAACAGCTTTTTACATTGCCTTTTAAATTACAAAGTTAACGCTGCCCTGACGTGAAGGATTTCAGTTATTTGATTACTGATGTGTTTATAAAAACAGGAATGTGACTAAAATTTTTTGGAGAGAAATGACACCCGGCCGGTTACTGCAGAAACCTGTAGTCGAACATCATTAACACCGCTCGAGAGCGATGAGTGCAGTTTCTTACGACCTGTGCTAGGTTATAGTCAACTATACGATACTATAAGATGACTAGACACTTGTTGGCCAATATCTTGAAATAGATAAGAAACAATTGTGGAACTATTAGTACTTTATTCGACGACGATAAATATTGTGTGATGAGCACGGTAATTTGTTCTGTGTCTGGGTGTAATTTATTTATAATATGCTTGTATTTAAAAATATGTAAGTATGTTTATCAGTAGTCTGGTTACCATAGTACAGGCTCTGCCTAGTTTGGAATCAGACGGCCGTGTGTGAGGTACCTATATTATTATTTAGTAATGTATTAATGTGTACTGCTAAACAGGTAAACCTACCTGTAAATGAATCCACAACTACTAGATGATAATTTTTGCCTATGACGATAAATGAGACAGGCTCTTTTTTGATAGGTTTTAAATACATAAGCTCGAAATAAAAAAGGGACCTAAATCAATTGTTTTTACTGTAACATTCTTTGGCGTTCCTATTTTCTTCGATAGATTATGATGATTAATAGTAAGATATAAACATTAAGTGTATTTAAATATTTCGGCAAAGACCTTATCTTATTTATTGAAACAAATAAAATACATAGAATATAGAACATTCTATCAGTTCACACATTTCTAGATTAATTAACTCACCTATTACGCTACACACAAAAAAGAGCTAGAAACTTAAAACGAGTCCCATTATTTATAAATGCATATTAGAACATAAAACAAATATGTAGTTAAAAAAGCAGTAAGTTACAATTAGCCAACTCGAAAAAGCGAACATTTACGACGCGTTGATAAACATATTACTACGTATGTCTGAACCTAGCTTCGTTTCTGTAATCTTGATATATAAGATAATCAGGCCATACAAATTAAATTAAGCATTAAAATACTTGTCTGCCAGTCGTGTTGGCTTATAAAGTCTCGTATCGTGGGATATAGGAATATTAATCGATTATCGATCCTTAGTCTTATACGGGTGAAGCGGATGTGTTGTGTATGTGTTATGGTGTAGTTGGTATTGTTCCAATAACCTACTTTTTTCTAAGTGGGAACAAAAATTCTTTGGCAGTTTAAAAAAAATCAAGCGTTGTCTAGAAACTTTATAACTGCGTATGTATGTGTTCCATAAATGGTCTGTGGCTCTTGTCTTTTAAGAGTTTAATTTAAATTCATGACTATTATTATAAAAGTCTATTATATGCCACAAAACACTTAAACGAAAATTTCCTTTCAAAGGGGATCGTTTATCTAAATAATTTATTACTTTCGTAAAAATGAAAATTTTAACCATTTTAAAGTACCACTTTAAGTTATTGTAAAGTTAAGTGTTATTTTATTGTAATAACTTTAGTGGTAGGTCTCAGGCGATGATGATATCAAAACAATCTGAAGACTTAATTTCTTGGCTTTCCTATGTAAAGCGACTATATAGTAACTACATAATTATAACTAACTCAAGATAAATTACACTAAACGTATAAAAAAGAAATTAGCATATGACACCGATTCTATCTTGAAGGCTAACACTCTGAATTAACCAAACAAGCGTCTCTATTTTATACGCTTTAAAAAGCAATTTAGCTACTCTAGTAATTGATACATATCACGTCCGCTATACGCAGTGTATTATGTTCCATGTATTTGATTCTATCGATTGATTTAGACAATACGTTTAGTGAGTATGCTTGAGTATGCCTTCGGGATCGTCAGCAGTCAGTCAGTATTGAAGATTCGCTGCTGGCGTCCCTCAAGGCGGTATTCTTTCACCTCTTCCTTAGACTTCAGTGCTACTATCATCTCTACGCTGATGACTTGCAGTTGTACTACCAAACAGAGTTGTGCAATATATTGTCCCCGTTTTCGATTGTAAAGAGTGACCTAGCGGCCATTAAACATTGGTCCGATATGTTTGACCAATCGGTGAATCCGAACAAATGTCAGGCCATTATCATCGGAAGTAACCGTGGTATGAGCCAGCTCGACCTTGCTACACTTCCACCTCTTTTCTACGATGGTATGGTTACTCCATACTGTATAAGCGTGACAGACCTCGGACTATATATTGACACGACCCTTAGCTGGCAGAAACAAGTTGCTTCTGTGTGCCATAAAGTCACAGCCTTGTTGCGAGCCCTCTATAGGCTTAAGAACTTTCTGCCAGTGAAAACTAAGATAATGTGATGTGTACTACTCTGACCTGAATGCAGATCTACTCAATAAGCTTGACCGCCTTCTCAATAATTGCATTCGATTCGTTTTCAATTTACGCAAATATGATCACATGACTCTGCATCGCTCCTTTTTGGAGTGGCTTCCAATTCGCCAACGCAGAGAGACGCATTAACTACCCTATATTCTTTACTCTTTTCTCCATGTGCTCCTTCTTACTTAACTAGTCAACTTCAATATTGAGGTGCAAACCACGCTTAAACCCTTAGATCTTCAAGCAACCTACTTCTTCACTGTCCCACTCTGACTTCGTCACTTCTACTTTTGTGGTACGATCTATTCTGTCATGGAATGCGCTCCTGCTCCAGGTCAGGATGGCAAAAACTTGGCAAATCTTTAAATACCTGTCACGGAAACTTACTTGTTCTTTATGTATTATTTATTAAAAATTATTCTAATGTAATTAATATAAGTACTTTGGATATATGATATCCTATATATGCTATATTTATCATAAAATCTCATTATTAATTTCTTTTGTGCATCTACCATGTTTTAGCTCTGCATCGCCCTACGGTTGACTGGGAGAAAATGCCTACGGCATTAAGTCCGCCTTTGTAACATTTGTGCATAAAGTGTAAATAAAAAATTGCAAAATTTGAAATACCAGCTGTAATTATCATTAATAAATTAATAGTGAATGTAGAAGTAATGAATTAATGATTGTCTGGGTGTTGAAATTAGGCCATAAATAATAAAATTTGTATGTTTTCCTTATTGTAGGTAATTACGTATTTGTCACATATATGAAACTAACTAATGAAACATAAGCCGATCTTATAGATTTTTCGTTATATGTCATGTCAACAATTATGTATACATACACTGCTTTAAAATTTACATGTA